GAGGAGGAGGAGGAGGAGGAGGAGGCCACCTGGCCACTTGCCCAAGCCGACTTCGGTCAGCCAGACATGTTTGCCAATCATCGCTTGCGCCTGCCTGGCTCCCCCCTCGACCGCCCGACACCACGGCCTCAGTCGATATATCTTTCTTCGTCGAGTGGTCGCAGATGGAAAAAAACCCAGGCGCATGAAGTTCGCGCCAGGGCTAACAACGCTAGATGGCTGGTACACGTCTAGTGAGGGCAGTTGCTATCCCTGCCTCCTGACATGCTTAATCGTTCCCTTGTCCCATTAATGCTTGTCCAAATAACTGACTTTCGATTTGGGAAGCCTCAAGTTGACAAGAGGAGATGAGTAGGAAGGCGCTGACGCCGAGAATAAACGAGCGAAACCTCGGACACCATCCATAACACTGCTTCTGCGGCCCTGGGATTCAAAACCCGCACAAAAACTGGGTTGACAACAGCGATGACGACATTTTATGCTGACAGAAGCGGGTAGGAAAGGATAAGGAGTAAGCATATGCGAGGGGTAACGAAAATCATGGAGAACTTCCTACTGTATTTTTCAAAGAACGTGTTGTTCTGCAGAGTTTTTGGGCCGGTCCATCATCCGCAGGATGACCTTCGGTGACCTGCACACAGCACGCATATTTCTTTACTAAGAGGAAAGTTCACTCTCAAAAACGAGTTCGGCACGAAGTGCAGTCAGGTAGTAAACAAAAATACTCGGGATGCATACTTTCGCCAGTAAAGCAGGGGTGTTAAGAGCCTAGTGAATTCGTCAAACAACATTTAGCATTTTCTTACCCCGCGCACATACTTATTCCTTGCCTTGGCAGGTTTCAGGGAGCAGTTCAGAAAAAAAAACCAGGGTAAGATGTGGTTATGTAGCCCCACCTAATGGACACAATACTGTTGGGGTTGGCGTTAAGGGTTCGAGTTAGAGGTGAGGGCTAGGGGTACCGTTAGGGTTTAGAATTTAGGGTTACAGGTTAGGGTTAGGGCAACTATTTCTCAGCCACCCAAAGTACAACCGCGCACTCCCAATAGCTTTTCTGTTGAGCCTGCGCGTTCCCTGGCCCCACTTGTAATAACCCCCTATTACCACCGATCCCACCGATGGCTGGGGTTCGTTTACTTCAGATGAGGCTGCATATCCACATCTGACCAAAGGTGGGTACGATCGATGGAACAAGAACCATATTGGTCTGGCGTTTTGAACTCTCATTCGAACCCATAATGGAAGACAGTAGCAGAAAAGGGGGGAGTAGAGGCACATGGGACGCAGTATTCATAGGCGGACGCAACTGTCCGACAACCGTATGCCTATAATAATTAACAGCACTTGCGCCCATTGCGGGGGGTCCTATTTGATGCAATAATTGCTTGTCGGTCTGTGCCCGACTCGTTGACTGCTGTTATTTCATCACTAGTGTTGATTCTTGACGTCACGCCCAGACTTGTTGTGCCTGTTCTGCAAGCACAAAAGACGGAATTATTTCTCGAGGGGATCCGGCGAGCGAACTCCTATACCTGCCATCGTGCGTACGTACCCAGCCGCTAAGATAAGATTGGTTTTCACAAGCTCTCCGTTTCTTCGCCTTGGAGATAACGACAGACTGCCTTTTCAGACCCCTTTTGGCGGTTTGTGAATACTAAGCGGTTATTCCGCAGTAGCTGATAGATTTCAGCTCAAATATTCATATCAAACTTTGGACCGTGCCTGAAAAGGCACGTTTCGAAAGATTTACTCCAAGTTCGCGTATTAATTTCCTCGGAAATTAAACAAGGCAAGTTGAAACTGGAGTTCATATACGAGAAAACACACGGGGAAAGCTGGGGGACCCACTGACGAGCCGAACCCCTCGCAGCTGCGTCAGGCAGCGGCACAAGCTCGGCGAAACACGCGTGTCTGGGCTTTTAACTAATACCTGTGTTGTTAGTACGGTAAATCATTGCGCAGTTCTAGACCCCTTTTATGTGCGTCTACGCCTTCACTTGCTCTAGTGGGGCAGGTTATATTGATCGAACAACTAGGCGTCTATCTAAGCGGATGCGAGAGCACCATCCTGCCTGGTTAAACCAAGGTGGGAGAAAGTCCATCTCTAGTGCAATTGTGGCTCATTTGGTTGACAGCGGCCACCGGGTAGACGCCAACCAAGCATTTCGAGTCATCTATAAAGTGCTGGCGAGACACTCCAAGTTCCTGCGTCAACGAATTCTGGCGACGGCAGAAGCAGTGGCCATACGGTTAGCCAACCCAGCCCTGTGCTCACATAAAGCGTTTGTACAGGCGCTAAGGCTTCCCGCATACGTGTTCATACCTGCCTCGTCGCGTTATAACGCCGAAACATGGACAGCTAAACGTCAGATACCTCCCCGCCCCCCTCCCTAAACCCCAGACAGAACTAGAATCCGACCACTGAGCTCTGAACGCTCCTCGGTCCCATAGTGACTATTATTGGATGTTCCGCTTTTGCTATTCTGCTCTTATATTAGTGTACAGGCCTGGGGATGAATAATAGAAAACGTACGCTTGTTGCACTTGACTTCTTAGATGTCTACAGGGCTATCATCGCTGAAGTACAAAAGACCTCTTCAAGGACAGAACCGGTTCCAGCAAGGCTCCCTCCTTCCGACGCCTGCCTCTCGTCGTCGTGGTCTTGTCCTGCAGAGTACGGAGGAAGAGCGAAAGAGAGAGAGGGAGGGGGGTATCTGTGTCGCAAGTCTGTTTCATTGTAGATATTTTGGCAGTTTTTGAATAATTCATATTGACCCAACTGTAAAAAACTCGGTGCTTCGGTGGGATTCGAACCCACACAGTAAGGGGAAGGCTTTGGTACAGCCAACGCTCTAACCACTTGAGCTACGAGGCCCCGCCGGACGACGCAAGTTTAATCACATTTGGGTCAAGTTATCCGCCCTACCTACTGCAACGTCTGGAATCCACCAAATCTGATACAGTAAGTTGACTGCCCAAGCAGGATTCCCTAAGTAAGTCACCTAGAATCCACCGGACGACTACCAGGCTCACGTAATTCATAGCTATTTTGCCAGATTTTAAATAATTCATATTGACCAAACTGTGAAAAACTGCGTTGGCTGTACTAAAGCCTTCCCCTTACTGCTGCGTGGGTTCGAATCCCACCGAGGCGCCGAGTTTTCCACAGTTGGGTCCATATGAATGTTTCATTGTAAACGAATTTACTCGCAGAGTATGACCGCGCCCACCTGGTAGACCCTGCTGCTTCCGACAGTGAAGAAGAGCCTGACGGTCCAAATGCTGCTCCCGACGTTATTCCATTTTCTTGCAAAAATTGAAGCTAGTGCCCCGCTTCTGTCCTGTTCACAGCACGCATTCTGTTGATGGCACCGCTTTCGACTCGCCCTCCCCCGTCCCCTGCCCCCTACACCTTCGCCAGCTGATTAATTTAAAGTTCTGAGCCGAGTAAGAAAAGCCACGCGGCTTTGCCTGTATGGATGGGCGGCCTGGTAAATGCTAACAGCTGCGTACGACATGTGCAACAATCAACTGGCTGAAAGCCAGATCACACATCTGTCTTTGCACCGTGTACTTCCTCTACCTGGTCAGCACTTTCACCATCTCGCCCGGCGGGTTTTCATGACCAGCGTACGCCCTCCCCCCTACCTCCCCCTTGCCCCCGATTGTATTTATCCTTCGCGTGGAACGACGCTGCCACAGCGGTGCCATCTCCCCGGTATTGGCCATCAGAACGCGTAAACACAGGCGTACCCGCTCGCAGAGTCTGTAGACCGCTTGTTTAGTCCTCGTTCACTTCGGCCCAAACAATCGCCACCCCACCCCTGTTCTCCCAATTTACTTTGGAGAACGCAGATATTGGGTGGGGGTGGGAGGGGGGAGCACGCGTGATGAGCCCGTTGAGAGTAATCGCCATCGTCGCCTTGTAGATTCTCAGAAGAGGGGGGGAGGAGTTTAAGAGGGGTCGACTGCATGACAGATCCGCGTCCACGCGCACCTGCTGTCGGAACTAGAAAGTAAACAGTCTGGCAGTCCGGCGGAAGGCAGCCTCGTTGGAGAACTGTTGTCTGGCGTTCTCGGACTGTCTAGGTCTCGGGACTTGTCGTCGCGGACAGACGGATTTCTGTACGCGGTCTTCTGAAAAGGCAGCTGAGGGTTGTTTTGAACTGACGGGGGAGGCTGGGGAAGTGTCTTTTAACTGAGGACTGTCAGTTGGGTTTTGTATTTACGATGAGTGAAATCAAGCTTCACCCTTCAAGCCAGTTGAGGAGTCCTCCAGGCGAGGACTGTGCACTAAGGTCGCACGTGATATCCCACCCAAAGCACAGCCTTAAGCCAAAGTTTCCGTCAGCTTTGACGGCCTTCAGGTGGAGTATGCATTTCTATGCAAGATTAAAGTGTTTTTTTGCAATTCAGTGGACCTTTTAAAAGGTGTTGTCGCTGAAATGAGGGGTGAGTGGAATTGTAGACAACGGCTCACTTACAGTCCACAACCGGCTGTAGGATTTGGAATCTAAGCGTAGATGGGTAGCTTTGGAAGTCAGGAGTTCAATTAAAGTCCCCCTAGTGCAAGCTGTCGCAGCTGTTACTGGAAGTATTCCTGACCACACGAGAGGGGAATTCGCCGACTGTGAATGCTTGATGAAAACAGTTATCCCCTAAGGTTTCGGATTTTCGCTCGAACCCATCATTAGAGACCGTGACAGTGACCCCTATTTGCCACCGTCCTTGATGATGTGTTCGAGCGAGAGTTCGAAACGTCAGGCGAATAGACCTCTTGCTCCAGCGATCGAGCCTACTTCTTCTCAACTAGTTCCTGGAACTCGCACCTTCGTTTGTATCAGTTATCCCTTAATTGGCTGAGCCATTGTAATTCATCAAATTCTTGTAATCAGCCCTCTGTCCTGATTGCAAGGCGAAGCAGGACGAATCCTAGTCTACAGCCCCCACGGAGGCGATCGAATAGGGACGAACAGTCGATAACAGACACGGCTACCACCAGAGGCTGGAGCGCCAGTTCACGCCGGTGCCAGATTGATATATCGATTGACTGAGTTCTCATCCGAGGCCCTGGCTTCAGTCGACCCGCAGCTTGTATTGCTTCCAGTGTCGGTGATTGTCCTGGAGGCTGAGAATTCCCCCAATCGGTGTATTGACTTGGCGCCAGCATACAAGGCTCTGCGCATTCACCCCAAGACCTGCATTAAGAACTGCTGATTGCTAAGACCATTTGAAACTCTCGCTTGTTCTCCTACTGATGTCATATCTGACGACAGACCCTTACACGAGTCCGAAGCTTCAGGTGCTCGGTCAGTCTTCTTCCGCACTCATTCATACGCCTGATTCTCACCTTCGCCCCCATTCATGGATCATTTGTCGTTGCCGGTCCGTCGTACCCCAACCGCGCGTCGAAAAGAGCCAAGATTGAAGCCCATTGAAAAGGTTTGTAAAATACCTCATCAGTTAACCATCGGCTTCGAATGGTAGTGATTGTGGACGCTTGGACGCAGCGTTCCATGCTCGAGGGAACAGTTCCTCCGTTCTGGGCTTAGGAATGGGAGATGGTTCATGATATCCTTTAGGCTGGAAGTGGCCATTTCAACCTACCTTTTTTGTCCATGGCTTTCTCAATATTTGTTGTCCGTTTACTTCAGTTTCAGACAATTTGGGTGCTTTCTGATGCAGTTGCATCTGCCTGAATATTTAACTCTGACCACTTGAGAGATACTGTGAGATTATTCTGACGTCTCTCTGCCGTTTCAACATTCGCTTATCGAGCCGGCAAGCCAGAACGGTACTGCTCCAGTCTTGTCGAGTAAACTCGGTGTGTCGTACACACTGAGATACCTCCCCTAGTCCCTCAGAAATGACATCTGCTGCTCTTTTGGCCGGTATTCCACCATCTCAAGGAGCGAAAGCGACGGGTAACTGTCCGCATTTTGGCACCACACTGCCACTCACAGCCCCCTAGCAGTTGGAGGAGCGCATCCAGAAACGGGCTCTTTTCAGCTCGATAACCTTCCACTCAGTGAGTTTGTAAAATCCCGTACGTTGTGGGCCAGGGAGCGTGGCGGTACTCCTAGGTGCGGCTTTACGCATGCCGGTCACCTGCGTCCTCCCCATCTCCGGCCTTCTTGACTCTGTCTTGGCACCGGGTCCAGGCGAGGAGGAGGAGGAGGAGGAGTAGGAGGGGGGGGGGGAGGAGGAGGGCAGATTCAGGGCAAATCTACTATCGCTATAAAAGAAATCGCACGCAAGTATCGTCCCTGCTCTCTGACTGCTGTGGAGCACATGGTGGGCATCATCGGTCACGACGGTTTGATTATCGCACCAAAGGCAACCACCCTCGAGAAAGGTGGGAGTCGTCAATTTTCATTGGTATGTGACAGCATATCGACTGCATCCTATAAATACTCCAAGTCCTTGTGCATTAATTATCCGTATACGAAGCTGTCTCTGATGAGGGGTTCCAGCATGAATCTGAAGCGTCAGGCATACAGAGATATTGTTCCAGCGATCACGTCTACTTCTTCTCAACTTCTGGCGGGCTGGGAGCCAGGCTGTCACGGTCCCTTCTCAAGCGATCTGTGACACTCATGCATGTGAGGAGAGTGTGTTTTCTTTATGGGTGGTGCCTCTCAGTCGACAACCGTTTGGCTACCTAACCTTGAAGAGTGATGACCCAGACTGAATACAGGGCCGCGTGTCATCCTCCCGGGCCTAAAGGTATGAAAGCGTGTGCTATGCCAGTACCAGCAAATCATGACTCTCGCGGGCTGGTATGCTCTGACAGTTCCCCGACCCCTGGTTCCCTGCTGGTAGATGCGCTTGCGCACCCGCTGGGTATACAGGCGGTGGGCATGGCTGACCAGTCAACATCCTCGTCCTTCTGACCCCTGTTCGGGTGTTGTTGTTGTTGTTGTTGTTGGTGGTGGTGGTGGTGGTGGTGGTAGTAGTAGTAGTAGTAGTAGTAGTAGTAGTAGTAGTAGTAGTAGTAGTAGTAGTAGTAGTAGTAGTAGTAGTAGTAGTAGTAGTAGTAGTAGTAGTAGTAGTGAAAAGTCCTGGTCAAGTGTATGCTGTGAACCAGGGGTTGTGGAGGGGCACGCCTAGGTGCGGGTCCGGCCGTGCCAGCCACCTGCGCCCTCCCCTCACCTCCGGTTTTCTTGGCTCTGCCTTGAGACCGGGTCCAGGTGGGAAGTGGGGAAGAGAAAGTGTGATAGATACTGCGCAAGTCCACTATCATTATGAACTTATTCACGCGCAAATCACCATGCCTGCTGCTGTAGCACATGGTGGACATCGTCGGAACCGACAGTCGAACTGTTGTGTCGGCAATTTCACCGTTGCCTTGGGTTTCCACTTCTAGCGTCCAAGCAGTCGATCGCAGACAGGTAAAAATTCGCCATGGTAGGCTGTTTCTCCACTTGATGGTTTTCAAATTCACGACACCTGAATGTAACTGTGCTCCAGACGAAGCATAAGGAAAACAGTCCCCGCACTTCCTACTTACATCGCATTTGGGGGCAACAGTCAGCCAATCAAACTGGATAGTAGACTCGACCCAGGCTGCCCTCCCGCGTCTCCCTCGCCATACTCATACCAGTCCCTCAAGCGATATAAACCAACTTTTTGTAGCCCATCTGTCCGATAGCCGGAGGGCCAGCACAACTTCACCAATCGTTTTGAAAGGTCATGATTCCTAGGGTAGAACCAGCAGAAGTAGTTCGGTTAATGAGTGGAAAAAGGGTTGATGACCATTTTTAAAATGACAGCGTAGTAACAACACCTCTGCCGGTGACCAGAGGATGTGTTTAACAGCATGTTTGCCAAATCTGTGTGAAGATTTCCGTCTCATCTGCCGGGAGGCGAGTTTTTGAAACCCTCTGCACCAGCTGGGTTAAGTTTTTTTCGGAGGCTTGGACCACTTAGTCTTCGGACTGCCTTGCCAGCCGCGCTCGGCTTGCGCAACCCAGCCCAGCTCTCCACGTATGACCTTGGGACCCGATAATTCCATTGGCTGCGCATACTCACTTGCAGCTTTCGCCTGACAGGAGCCTCCATAGGGCATTCTACAACAGGACGCCTATCTGGGACCTGGCATGGTACCAACCACTGGTGTCCTCATTCAGCGCCCTGTGTTTCCGTGCTCGATTGTGTACATGCTCATGGCATCTGTATCCCGCTGAGATTGTAAGACGCTTGGGGGTAGGGCGGGGGGGGGGCGGAAGCACTGGAAAAAAACACCGCAGAATTACCTCTCCCTTTTTCCGTTCGCGCCCCAGCAACCGGTGAAGGGAACTGAGATGGGGCTGCTGTGGGAATCTGAGAACTCTGCAACGCCGGCGTGAAATCGGACACCAGAGATGTGCGACAGTTACTCCTAGCGGGTGACGGAACTGCTGCCTTGCTTTCCGCCGCCATAATCCCCTGTTCGGTCGTCAGTCGACTCGGGAAAAATGTGCTAGAACATATGTGCTGCCTACCGGCACCTTTGTGCTTCAGAAGGCCTGTACAGGGATTTCTGCAAATGACAGAATCTACCAGCACTTTAATTATTCATTCATCTTACAAAACTGCCGATGTTGCTATCGCAGCAGGCTAATTCAGGCTGTTTTACCAACTATACCAAGGCAAGGCCGCCTGTACTACGCGGGAGGGGATCCATATGCTCATGTCCAACTCTACAACCTAGCATGACGCGTCGGAGGCGGTGACTTTCAAAGTTACCGGCTGAGGGACTGACTCGGTCGGAACGAGGGTTAAACTGCCATGACTTTTTTAGTCTTGTTCTTAAGGCACTCTATCCTCTGCGAGACCGGACAACTCCCCGTCTCACATGTAGTAAGGGACCAGGTCGCGTGTGCGTGGCACGCGTAGACGGATCGTTTGGCTTTGTTGGTTACTTCACTCTCACCCGCCTCTGGTCGTCCAGCGGACAGAGTACGAATGACGCGTCGGAGGTCCCTCACATTGCTCTTCAGAGCACCTGCAATAGGTTAGCCTTTAGGTGAATGCGGATGCCAAGGAGAAGCATTCGTGCTATCAGAACTAACAAGAATGACATATGAGGCTGGGATAGAGTCGTGTGTTCCTGTTCTGGGCCAAACTGAAGCCTATAAAAGAAGGCAATGTTCGGTTACGTACTGCACTGCACAGCCTAAGGTATGCCAAAGTCATTGGTTATAATATAAATGAAGTCTGGATGGTGACGGGCAGAAAGTGCGCTTCTCTCCAATTCCCATCCCATCCAGCCCCTATTGTAAGCGGTCTAGAAGTCATCAGTCAGTCCTGGAAAATTTATGATGAAGATATTTGCCTATTTCGAGCACTTTTTCGGGTCACACATTCACCGCCGACAGTTGTATCGGTAAGGTGTATTGTATTCAACATAGATATCACGGCGATTTAACCCCATCACGCGGCAAATGCTTCTTTAGTGTAAAGTGATACCATGCTGACAGCACAGGGCCTAGCCAAAAGCCCATACACACGTGTTTGGCCGATATTCTGCTGCTGCATTTCGCAACTGCGGGGGGTTCGGCTCGTCAGTGGGTCCCCCAGCATTCCCCTTTCGTTCACTGGTAGATACTCCAATTTAGAAACTGTCGTTTTTTAATTTCCTCAGAAATTATCTACGAAGTTGGAGTAGATCAGTTTACTCAAGGTCCATAGGCTCAGACCGAGATAATTTCCGAGGAAATTAAAAAGCGACAATTTCTAAATTGGAGTATCTACCAGAAAAGACACGGGGAATGCTGGGGGACCCACTGATGAGTCTAACCCCTCACAGCTGTGCCATGCAGCGGCAGAATATCGGCGAAACACGCGTCTATGGGCTTTTGGTTAGTACCTGTGCTGTTAGCATGGTATCACCTTACTCTAAGGCATACTACTAGCTGTCTGTCGACAGTTAATGAATATTACGCGGTTACTCGCTGTGGCTGATGGACTTTGGCCCAAATATTCATGCACGAAATTCTCGGTCTGAGCCTATAGACCTTGAATAAACGGATCTACTCCAACTTCGAAGATAATTTCTAAGGAAATCGAAAAACGACAAATGTGTTCTTGTTGCGTGCGTTACCGATTTACGACGACGACGTACTCTAACAAAAGAATGCGAATTCTTGTAGGAAATGCGTTTATCGATCGGGTTACAGGGCCTGTTTGTCCCCTTTGGCTTTGGAGCTCAGTCGCATAGACATCAACACAGGGGAGACTGGGAATGGTCATTTCTGGCTTATTACCCCTCGCCATCCAACCTGCGCCTACCTAACAGACCACATATGGCCATCCTGATCTCCCTTGTCTTTGTCAGTGCCAGTTTTAGAGGACTCAACCCAATTGGGAAAAATTTGGCGGCCTCGATGTAATTAGAAACCGCGAAAGTGAGGTGAAGACCTGAGTACGGCCAACGCTCTAGCTACCTGGGCTATGGGGACTCACTAGGAGCCGCGAGTTTAATCACATTTGCGTCGAGATACCCGCTCAGACTACTGTTATGTACAAAGTCCACCAAATCTGATAGGGTAAGTGGTAAGATGTGGTTATTTAGCCCCACCTAATGAACAAAATACTGTTGGGGTTATGGTTGGGGGTTATAGTTAGGGGTTAGGGCAACTATCTCTCAACCAATCAAAGTCCAACCGTGAAACTTTGCCAATCCGGACACAATACTGTTAGGGGTTAGGGTTAGGAATTAGTCAGGGGTTAGAGTTAGGGGCTAGTACAACCGTGCATTCCCAGTAGCTTTGCTTTTGGATGCAATTACTTGACCTCTTCGCCTGTGCGTTACCCCGCCCCACCTACAAAAGCCCTTATTACCGCCGGTCCCGTATTACAGGGGGCTGAGATTTGTTTACCTCAGGTGCGGCTACATAACCACATCTGACCCAGTAAGCTGATTGCTCAAGCAGGATTTTCTAATCAATCAATCTAGAATCCACCAGATGCCTGCCAGGCTAACCTAAACTCGAACTTTAGAAACCCCCGGCTTATATCGAACGCCCGAGGTCTTATTGACAGAAAACGATCACATGAAAATGCGTGGAAACTTCTGTGCAACCTCAGATTTTCCTGTGGCCTGTTTCGATTAAACGGCCGCTGTGCATTCCAGCAGAGTCACAGGGGGGGCGCAGGGGTCTTCTTGTCCACACACTGCTACCACCGCCAGTGTTGCGCGACATCTGTTCACTCCGAGGGGAGGGAGGGGGGACGCCCACGTGCACCTCAAATTGCCCCTTCTGGATCTTTTTTTTATCACACCGTTCATTATCGCCTCGTGTACGTACACAAATAGAGCCACACACACACACGCACACACCCCCGAGACGCCCAATTTTCACGCAGGCTCTCCAACCCCAAATGTCCATCGGTTACCCCTCCGCCCACCTGCGGTTGGACAAAATCACAGGTGTCGGTCGAGTCAGGGTTTTCACACGAACCCCAAATTATGCAACAGCAGTCCACGTCTGCTACTGACATTGCCCCTTGAAGTACTATTGACACCCTGCCGTCAGCTCAGCTGGGGGGATGTACTGCAACTCAGGCCGGTCGCGGAGGCGGGCGTGGTGGGGATTGGAAGGGCGGGGGGGTGCGACAAGTAATTCAACACATGTCCAAAAGGCACTGTCTAGTGTGAACGAAAACTGCCAGCTGTTGAGAGGATCAAAAGTGTGAGGTTTGTTCGACTCTAGTGGGGCCGAGCTTGAAGAATCTTTCCTCATGGCGCATCAGCAAATTTCGCACTTTGCGTTGTTTTCTTTCAGAGGAAATTAATGCGTGAACTTGGAGTAAAGCCTTCGGGACAGACCTTTTCAGGTATGGCCCGAAATTTGATATGAAGTTTTGAGCTGAAATCCATGAGCTACTGCGGAACAACCGCGTAATATTCACAAACCGCCAACAGGCGGCCAATAGTATACAACTGTTTACTTATTTGCCGTACTGACGACACAGGTATTAGTTAAGAGCCCAGACACGCGTGTTTCACCGATCTTGTGTCGCTGCCTGACGCAGCTGTGAGGGGCTCGGTTCATCAGTGGGTCCCCCAACCTCCCCCGTGTGTTTTCTGGCAATATGAACTCCATTTTCACTTTGCCTTGTTTAATTTTCGAGGAAATTAAGGCGCGAACTTGGAGTAAATCCTTCAGAACAGAGCTTTTCAGGCACGCTCCGAATAAGCCGACACGTCCCGACCTATAACGAAGTAGAAAAAACCGTGGCTTGGAGGGGTAGAAAGTT